CCGCCGAGCTTCAGCACGTCAAGCAAGTATTGCCAGACAACAAGCTTTGGGTCCCATGTCTACGTCACAGCGACCGAGTGAAGCCGGCTACAGTCGATGGATGGGTGCTGCCATCTGCTTGGGATCCTATAATTAACAAAATCTACCCAAACCCAAGCATACCACCGCAAGACTTCAAGACTTAAGGTAGCCGGGCTAACTATAACATTGAGACGTCAAACGTCTCCATACCTCCTCCCCCCCGTGACTATAAATTAATTAAACGCGATAAAATCCGTATATATAGTTTTATTCAATAAGTAGTGTGTTAGGGTAGTGTAAATAGTGTTCGCGTAAATTTAAGAAATCATTAAATTACATGTACAAATATATGTATTGTTTTATTATTATACATTGTTTTTTTTTATAAATTTCAAATAAAAATTGATCAATTTATTTATTTATCAATAACCAATAAATCCCAAATTTATCGATCAACGGCCCTGTCCCATCACTATGGTTCGGAGCATTCTAAGTTTAACCTTGAATTGATAGAATCAGGCGTTACTTTGCGGAAAAAAATAAAAATAAAAATTTCTTTGCAACCTTCCGCTAAATAAATACAATGATGTGTCTTACCTGGATTGAAGAGCACCTCCCGCCCTCCCTCAATTGCATGCACTAACTCCGTCACCACTAGTCCCAGCACCACTACTCCCAACACCACTATTCCAAGTAAGACACACCATCGACGATAATACGACACGTGTTTCGCCTCTACACGAGGCATCTTCAGGTAATGTAGACTAATGTAGATAATGTAATGAATGTCTATATGTAGTAACGATACATAAAGTACACATATATAAAGATATACACTATATAAAGATTTGAGAAAATATATATATATATATATATATATATATATATATATATATATCAAATCTTTATATAGTTTACATATTTTATGACTTTAAATAACCTGTGATTGATGGCCCCTTGCCTTATGGCCTAGCAAGTGGTAAATCAGCACTAGAAAATTGAAATTAAAAATTGAATTGGTGCCCACATTTGTTGAAATTAGGTTACTTGAAGCTCTACCACGACGCTACGGTTCTAAGAAGAGACGCCGATTCTTGGTTGTTTGCAAAACGCGTTAGACCCCACGGGTTCAAACTTACTTAGTCTGTGCCATAAAATGGTACTCTGTGCCTCTGATCCCTGTGCACAGATTTTGTTCACGGTGTCAGTTCTTGTACGAGTACGTAGTATGTGTTACTTCAATGTACAATTAATGAAAAAAACTTCTTACACAGATGTCCCTAGTGTTCTCCTTAAACCGTATTGCGGGAAAGGGGAAGTGCGCATCATCCTTGTACGCTGCACTCCCGTTGATGCCGTGGCCCACAACGTCTCTGTTCCCGATCCTGCACTTACCGTGCATTAGCCTCACATTACAGTATAATGTTACAACGCTGGGTTGTCTTAAGAATACAGACATATTGCGAGGAATACAGTTCGATTGACGTTTTGCATTGCTTCATTTATTCTTTTAAAATATTTCTTTACGGACAGTGTCTTTATATTAACGTGACCTTATGTTACCTCTTTCCTAGATTGCATATTGGGTCCTTGCATATGAAATTAGCGTTTTGTCGTACTGACTAATTTGATCTAAAATATCTCCTCCTCCAAATGAGTCGTGTTCGCTTCGCATAAATAACAACTTCAAAATGCCTGGTTGTGTTCTTAAAGACTGCAGTAAACACTCCAGAACATCAAAAAAATAAGTGATGATTTAACATTTAATCGGTAAGTAGACATTAAGACGTTTAAAACTCTTTGATTTTAAGTTTTCGTTTTTTAAGAATCGGGCAAAATGTAAAACCTATGTTGTACACTACATTGAATAATACGCGTAAGCTCCATGAAATTCTTGGCGCTTATGATGTTTTGGTCGCGAGGAAACCAGTCCTTAATACAAACTAGCGCTGCATGTTTTAATAGTTTGGTTAGACGATGTAACTATAACTGCAGCGTACTTTGGTTCGGGGTCCTTGGACTATACTCTAGTAATATAGTTCGATGGTCAAATGTCACTACGTGAAGGCAAAATTTTTACATGTTTAGATGACATAGCTTTCGTATTTCGTGGGAAAACCTGGGACGAAGTTCGACAAAATGCTAAAATGGAACTACACAGTGCTAACTTATGGCTTGGCTAAACATAATCTACTGACCATAAATGTATCCAAAATCTTATTAATACAGTTTATTGATTCTCGAATAAAACAACAGAACGTGGATATTCATACTCACACATGCAAATTTTTTACAAACCATCAACGTATGACATTTGAGCCTTATAGATACGTGGTATATCTATAAGGCTTACCCTTATAATTATACAACATGTAACAAAACCCTGTGGTTTCCGTTAACTGCGTTATCAGAATCAGTATCCAACATATAGAAATATTTTTTTTTTCAAAAACTCATTTAAAAAACATAATTTTAATGAAAAAAGTATTAATTTGCAAATTGTATGTGGTTTTATTTCCTCTAACTTACAGGAGTATCGGTACTGCGGGATCTTTGACAATCCTCTTACTCCTCGGCCAATGCGGAGATAATAAAACCACATACAATTTGCAAATTATTTTTTTTTCATTAAAATTAAAAAACAAATTAATGTTTTTTTGAAAAAAAAAATTATTTCTATATGCTTGGATACTGATTGTGATAACGCAGTTAACGGGAACAACAGGGTTTTTGTTACATGTTGTATAAGGCAATACCTTTTATGAGATGATTTACACATAATTACCAAACAGCATGTTTCTATTCCTTATGACCTAAATAAATCACGTAACAAGCGTACATTTACTAATATGTACGCTACACGACAAAGAAGTTTTCTTTCCGGATACCGTTATAATAAAGTTAATAAAATTTTAAATTTCTATCCGTCATCACTTTGCGAATGTCAAACTAAAATAAGGAACTGGCTATTTACATTAAACTATGGGGATACTGATATATAAAATTACTAATATATGTGAAGTGTTGCCATCTACTTGGGATCCTATAATTCTCGTCTCGGTCGTCTCGTCCTTATATCATGGATAATCCGATCTTGCCAGAAAGTAGTAATTATTATTATTATCAAAGAGGTTCTTTTAAAATTCCGTCACAAAATTTGGCGTGAACAATTCGACCCCAAAATCGTAATCGGGGACTTCAAAAACCTTGAGATAAATAAAATACGTGTGACACTCGGGGACTATTGCATAGCACGGCGGTAAAGCTATTGCATAGCATTTTTTATTGACTTATGCAATTATAATTATTTATTTATTTTATTTATGCAGTATTTTTTTCTTTGATATTAATTCAAGTTTTTTCTTTGATATTAATTCATGTTACACTTTTTGAACGTGGTGACCGACAAGAAAACAATTTTTTTCTTTTATTGAATAAATGAGAAGTTAAATACATCTAGTCGCACGCACAGAAACACCGTGCCGAAGCCTGCTGAACTGAAAAAATAAGAAACACGGCACATTGATGCACGGCTTTCAACGCCGCACTCCTGTGCCGGTCGGGGGGGGGGGGAGTTAGGATTATATTCGTTACGGAATTTCTTGATTCGGTCGCCGCGTTCAAAGCCCGCGATAAAAGCTATGCAATAGCTTAAAAATTACAAGCGGATTCTAAAGTTTTGATCACCAACTTGGATCCGCCATCTTCAATTTTAGAAAAATGTCCAAGTCGGAGTCTTTCATGAATATTTCGTTGTAAAGTCGACACATTCTTTATTATTGAGTTGTAAAAGCAGGTAATCTTCTAAGTCTGCAGGTAAAATGTCTTGCTAGGAATCCGGAGTTTGCGCTTTGTAGTTAAGTTTAATTTACTTAAGAGGTTATCGGACTCGATCTCATTATGGAGAATTTTATTTACATATATATATTATTTACATATATAAGGTCATATTCCTTACGGCGAATAAATAAAGAAGTCACTATAAATTTGTCTTTTCTCTCACCATAGGCGACAATATTGCAAGCAAGATCACATTTGTAGCTAAGTATTCTAAGAGTTCTTTTTGGGCGCTTTCTATACTATCCGAATGGATTGTGTAGCAGGGAGACCAAATGACACAAGCATATTCAAGAATGCTACGGACAAGGCTATTATAAGCGGTCAGGAAGCTTTGAAGCTGTTTGAAGCTTAGTGCATCTCGTTATGAAACCTAGTTACTGAAATGCTTTGTTTTTAATGTACGCATAGTCCTCACGAAATGTTAATTTAGAGTCAAAGAACATACCCAGATCTTTAGCTATAGTTTTCCTGTCTAATTAATCTTCTTTGATTTTGTAGTCATAAGTCTGTTTATATCTCTTATACGTAACGTTATAATAAAACATTTTGAACGTTATATCGTTAAGCCAGCACCATTCAGATATTGAATCAGTATCCTCTTGTAGCTTACCAGAGTCAGATAAATCCTGTATTACACGGGATATTTTCTAGTCATCTGCATATACAAGGCAAGTACCGGGCGATTTACAAATCAGATCGTTTATAAATATAATAAAAATAACGGAACGAGATGTGAGCCCTGAAGAACACCGGATTTAATTATGACAGGTGATGACGTGAAACCTTTCAGAGCGACAAGTTGGCTTCTATTATCAAGGTACGAATGAACCCAGCTCAGTAGATTTCTATAAATACCTGACATAGCTAATTTTTTACTTTTTTTTGTTGAAGGAATGATTTACTTTGTTGAAAGCTTATGTAAAATCAGTGTACACGGCGTGAACCTGCGCCAACCTGGCACACGGTGAAAAACTCACATAAGTAGTGTTCGTATTCCAACAAATTGGTCTCTGTTGATTTGCTACACCTGAAACCGTGCTGCTTGCTAGATATACAAGCGGCTCAACCTAAGTAAAAATTATCATAGAACGCAGATTAAAATACCTTAGCAACACAGCACAAAATCCTAATAAGTTAATATGTCTATAATTTTCGCAGTTGGACTTAATTTCGGACTAGTGAATGGGTACGATGTGAGCCAATTTATAAATGAAAGGCAAAGCACCAGAATTTAAGGACTTATTAAATAATAATGTTAGTAGTTCACACAGTTCCCTTGCACAATTTGAGAAAAATATAGCGAGAATTCTATCATACCCTGACTCCTAGGAGGAGAATCTATTCGAGTAAAAGGCTCAGTAGATTACGCCTGACCCGCACCTGAGCGGTCAGCCACGGTAGAGTCTACATCATCTGAGGATGCCTCGTGTAGAAGCGAAACACGTGTCGTGTTATCGTCGATGGTGTGTCTTACCTGGAATAGTTGTGTTGGAAGAAGTGGTGCCGGGAGTAGTGGTGCTGGGAGTAGTGGTGCTGGGACAAGTGGTGAAGGAGTTAGTGCATGCAATTGAGGGAGGGTGGTAGGGGCTCTTTAATCCAGGTAAGGCTCATCATTGTATTTAGTTAGCGGAAGGTTGTGAAGTAATTAATATTTTTATTATAATGGATTTCCGCAAAGTAACGCCTGATTCTATCAATTAAAATACTGTTGTCATTGACTGTCTGCTAGGAACTGCTTAACTTCGAAATGTAAAGTTTCAACATAGTATGAGGAAGTTTTTGAAGATTTTATATGATAATTTTCTATTATATAAAACTTGACATTGGCAAAAGTACAACTGTACGACTCCATTACCAAAGAAGAAAAAAAAACTATTTTTGGACAGCTCTCGTTAGATGTCGCTGCTTTTTTCATAATTAGGGTGGTGTTGGTCTGAAATTTACCTGGACAAAAGTAGAGTTAAAAAGGTAAATAAATTTTATATCCAAGTTAGTGCTTCGTAATCAAATATTTTTATTTGTGCTTAAAATTTTTACGTAAGTAGTAAGTATCAAATAATTTTATTGTTTCGTCGCCAGCAGGTCAGCAAGTAGAAGTTCTAATTTTAAAATGTATATTTTCCTCTTAACGTAGAATTAACTTTGGTTTTATAGATAAGAATGTACTTAGCTTTATAATTACAATAATCAGGTCCGACCTACATATTTATATTATGCGTCAGAAGCTTTTTTCGTGTTATGTAACTGCAATCAATACACTTCATATCTAACCTTACTTTATCACAAATTATTTACTCACCCTATTTCAGTCCATAGGGCCTATCAGAATATAATAATAATAATATAGCCATTTATTTCCAAACTTTGGGGTTGGACTGAATATTAGAAACCTAAAAATTTAGCCTGCGCTTATACCAAAATTGTAGATTTTATTTGCATTTTTATGTGTTCATACAAGTAGCTATATTTTAGTTTTATTCAAAGGGTTAACTAGACTAGCAACTATTTTGATTGTTACGAAGGGATTTTCTTTAGTAATCTGCTGCATGAATATATGGTCGCCGAGTGGGTGGGGGAGGGGGGGGGGAGGGGGAGGAACCTCCCCCTGAAAGGAAAAAGTGCCGGAAACCCCCCCCCCCCTTTTTTTTATGAATTTTTAAAGTTTTGTTACATTTAAGGAAAATTCGCTTTCGTTTAATAAAAAAAGGGCGTCCGGTGACGAAAAACTCACATTCGGGTCCCGGTGGGAATGTGGCAGTATTTAGGGTGGGAAAAACGGTGGGAATTAACACTATTTTGACTCTGCTTCTGCTCCAGCGCTGTGGGAAGTGCAGCCCTTTCGCCCTTGCATAACTAAGCACAGGCACCTAGCTCACCTGCGCAGCTTCGGCTGTTTGGTCGGCCTTCGGCGGCCAGCCTCAGCCGCTACGGCTCGTACGCTGCCTGCGCTTAGTTACAGCGGGCGAGGGCTGCATTCCCTCCGCGCTTCCGGATTTTCATATACACTAGGGGTAAGAGCGGAAAGACCACGTGGAAGTTGTGGTTGACAGATTCGGTTTTGTGATTTATACCTTCTGGTACTAGGGTTTGATCAAAAGAAATGAGCAAATATAATATTATAAAAACATTTATTTATATACATGGTTAATTACTTTAATTAGTTCCATAAAAGGATCCTTTTTTTTTCTTTGCACTGACCTTCTCCACAAATATTCAATAATAATGTCTGAAAAGTTTTCCGGGTGGTTATAATTGTATTTACTGAAAAATCTTTTAACCACCCGCCATTGCGATTCGATTCTTTGAGTATGAGTGCCATCAGGGGCAACAAATGGGTTCTCAGGATCTGAATGGTTCACCTTCTTGTGAATGTACCCATGTAGCCCCAAACAATCATAAGCCCTCCAGAAGTCAGTATGGATTGTGGTGCCCTCAACCACATGTTTTTTAATTAGGGGCACTAGTATGTCCGCTGACCTGATGTTTTCAGGGCACACCTCTAGTCGAAAATCCTCACTTCCATCCTCAATGAGGCTGAGGATCCAGTTGCCCTCAATCTGCCTTCCTAAAATCAACAATAAACAATTTAGAGTTAGTAAATATTCAAGATATTTATTTATTTATTTACTCTATATTGTACAGTGTACACCAAAACCCAATAGTACAAAATTACAAAAAAAAAAAAACAAATACAAAAGTACAAAATTTTATAGCAGAATATGTACAACAGGCTGTCTTATCACTCTGAAACTGATTTCTTCCAGATATTTTGGCTTTAAAAGGTATTCAAATATATTTAATAAAAGGTATTAAAAGATAATTTGGGTTCAAAAGTAAACTTTAAAATAAATAATGTGTAATAATTTAAGACTAACATAGGTTAAGCTAATTTACTAACATATTATGGACTATATGTAGGTCTGAAATAAATTTAATTATCATTATATTATTATTATAAATATATTGTTTCAGTCTGTAATATAAGAAAATCAAATTACCTTTATTATATTTCCGTTTTCCAAATTTTGACTCGTCTATTTGGACTACTTTTCCTGGGCCACCAATCTTGCCGATGGCCTCTTGTTGCTCTATTTGGTAAATGAGGACTGTCTCCCGGCAGTAATTGTACCAATCGCAGACAGTCGCCATAGATAAGCAGCCTCCCTCTATATCTTTTTCTGGGTCTTCGTGGATTGCATCTTCATAGCTCCAGCGATGCGCATAACAATACATCAGATAGAATACCCGTGGCAATGACATTTTAATATTTTCAAACCAGGTGCCCTTGCCACGAGCTACCCTGGATCGGGCTCTGCAATTTCCTTTATTGCAAACAAAGGAGCCCACATTTTTATTTTGCCCATATACCACTTTCATTGGCACTCTATGGGTGCGGCACTCCTTAGTGGCAGGGATTAAGCCATTTTCAATGGCAAACTCCACACACTACTCTGGTACCGAGTTCTCGCACGATTCGGGGTAAATTAAAAAATTTAGCTCCTTCTTCCACATATAAACGCCTGCGCACAAAATCACCATAAAGCTCCGCGAAGGGTACTACATCCGTTGCGGCGGCGTCGCTTGCGTTCGACGGACCGGCCGAACTAGTTGACGGCGTAGAGTCGTCGGCCATCTTGGGTCTCTCAGGTAGACAGACAGGTAGGCAAAGTCCAAGAAAACGTGCAGGGGTCTTCGTAGGGCAAATCGGTGGTCCGGTATTCGAGCACGGGTCTTCGTCAAGGCAAATCACAGGTCCAAGAAACAAGCAGAGGTCGAAAATAGAGCAGGCGGTAAACGGAGGTCCGATAATCGAGCAAGGGTCAAGAATTAGGAGCAAAAAAATGAGCGCAAAACATTCAAAGTCCGAAGGCGAAAGTGGAATGGATGGTGACTAAAAAACAATACGTGGTTTAACATCGTATGTTAGAGTAGGATAGCACTATAAATAGATTAATAGATCATACAAACTATACTATTGTTATCTCTTTCTAATAATTATATCCTTGTTGCTTATTTTTTTTTTAAAACAGAGTACAGACCATGCTCTATTGCTATCTCTTTGTAATAAATATATTCTTATTTCGTATTTGTATCATTTTTAAATGGATATAACCTCAAAACTATAATTGTCGATATCTCGAAAACTAAAGATTTCCGGCATAAAAAAACAGCTAGATGATAATTAATAGTCATTGCCTGTCAACTAAAGCTAAAATGATCAAATAATTATGTTGTTATTTCGTTTCGTATCATTTTTAAATGGACATAACCTCAAAACTAAAATTATCGATATCTCGAAAACTAAGGATTTCCGGCATAACAAGACAATTATTGCTTACCTTTTATAACAAAAAATTCTTCAAATATTGTTCCATTACCATCACCATAGACCTCCTTATAGGTTGTCTCATAGGGGGAATATTGGCCATAGTACCTGCGCTTGCCAGGCGAATTGTCAAATAAAGAAGTTTATAGTTTTTTGAGTTGCTATAGGAAGGTGGTGCTGCACATCTCATGCTTCATATTCCCTCTGTTGCCTCTTAAGGCACTCATAAGAGTCACAAATAATTGGGTAAGCAAAGTTCTGGTATGCCGGTGCTACATGACAATTAAAAAAAATTGTTCCAATGAAATAATATTATAAAATGCTATTTGCCCTTTAAACATAATGTTAGAAATAGAATTCCTTGTGTTAAGTATTATAAAATATGTAAGTATAGTAAAATATCTGGTTACAGAGACATGGCCAACATTCTATTACGCCGTGCGCTAATAGATGCGATTCGCGTACCAGCTGGTACCAGGGCTTCTAGCGAGCTTGCTAAGGTAAGCATAGTAGCTGGATTGTCAATACTAGCTAGTAGTAGCTAAAATCCACCCTTATAAAATCATAATTAAGTAGTAGTTTCAAGTACAATAGTATTGATTTTTTAAATTACAGTGGAAACTATGTAACATCACTCGATTTAACATCAAACTCCCTAAAGCGTCAAAATCAATTGGCTTTGGTTAGTTTAGCTTGTCTTCCTCAGTCCTCAGGGGTGACATCGCATCTGTGTTTGATTCTTAATCAATAAATGTAGATGTCTATGGGCTATAACATCCACTTACCATCAGGTGGACTGTGTGCTCGTTTGTCACCCTTATTCTATAAAAAAAGGTTAATGTCCATGTCACATCTATGCCGGTGATTGTTGAGAGCACTAAGCTTGAAGTTGTTGACTAATATGTTTAAAGACAAATAGTCCGATTGGGTAAGTCCAACTTTGATCGAGAGGTCAATAGAGCAATTAAACTGGGTTTGGCAGCGTTTGGAAGGTTACGACACCTCATACCTCAAAATCTCAAAACTAGATTGTACAACCAGTGTGTGATGCCAGTGATGACCTATGGATCTGAGACGTGATCCTTCACTGCTGGCTGTATGAGGAAGCTCGTAAGTCGCTCAGCGAGCTATGGAGGGGGCTATGCTCGGGATTTCTCTGTGTGATAAACTTAGGAATGAAGATATACTCAGTAGAACCAGAGCGACCGACATAGCCCACAATGGATTAGTTTGACAAAGTGGCAATGGGCCGGACATATAGCTTGAAGAACCAATAACCGATGGGACAGAAAGGTTCTCGAGTGGCAGGCTTGTACCGGCAGGCAAAGTGTAGGGTGACCTCCACTAGATGGAGTGATGATCTGGTAAGACATGCAGGAACTCGATGAATGCAGTTGGCTCAGGACTGTGCTTTGTGGGAAACCTTCCTTGGGGGAGGCCTATGTTCAACAGTGGACTTGTGAAGGTCTGTAATGATGATAACGGTGGTATTTTTTTCTGCCTCTTAAATTTTTTGTGCCCAAATAGCAGTAACTGTTTCTGGTTGACAGGCGCTTCACCTTAGGCCTCAGAGTTGGTAATATATATTCTTTGTTTGTAGTTGGCTGTAGGTGTCCATGGACTTCTGTAACCACTTACCATGATGTTTTTATTCATCGAATAATGGCGACAAATGAGCACACAGTCCACTGATTTGTGCTACAACCATAATAAAGCTGCAGCATGGCTCTACCACTTATAAAGTTGACTGTTATGTTGTTTCTGACTTAAGATTTATAATTTTTTTATTGTAAACAGATTGGCAACCGTGAGTGGGTAGGATATGGTTTCAATGGCCAGCCCAACTATGCAGACAGGCCTGATTTCCCCATTCCAGCAGTTAGGTTCCGCCCTGACACACCTGACATCAAGGTAAGAAGGACATATACATATTTATTGAGAGAATAATTATATTTGCTTTTCAAATTTGTATCAATTATAATTATGTTTATTTCACCCCATACATCTCATTATGGGAAGAATATCATGGTTTCTGATAGTCTGTAGCCCATCAGACGTAGATGTAGACCATCTTGAATTGAATATTCTAAGAGAGAATAAATGAGAGTAGGTCAGTATAACATCTGTTGGATGTATATAGCTTTTATTTTTTTAAACATAGTAACTATTTTCATTTCAATTTAAAATAGAAATTAGATGCCGTGATGTTAAACATGTAATGGGTACAATCGGTATTGTAATTTATTTAGGTTCTTCGTGAAAAAGAGAAGGGCGATTGGCGTAAATTGACTCTGGAGGAGAAGAAAGCACTATACCGTGCCTCCTTCTGCCAGACATTCGCCGAGTTTCAAGCGCCCACAGGGGAATGGAAAGGTGTTTTGGGCTGGGCCCTTACCATTGCATCTCTTTCCATCTGGATCTATATGGGAATGAAATTATTCGGTAAGTTGTAAACATTAACAAGTTATCTAACTAGCTGAGTTAACTAAGTTGACTTTCTATAATTCTTAACACTAGTGCATATCATTCAAGTTTAGATTTGTTTTACAGGGTCATTCCGGTTGATCATTACGAGTACTCTGTGATTTGTGAGACCTGTTCGATAATGTCGGTTGTGGGATATTACTACACATGTAATGTCCGAATATATATATACATATATATACAATGTAATTACAATCATCAATACTTTGATGTGACCCAGGTCAAATGAAAAAATCATTCAGTATTGACACATGTCTAGATAAGTCACGTGTCTGTCACATGACCTTATCTTTATATAATATGCCTTTCCCATACAGTTTTATAGTTTTCTATTAAATGCAGAAAGTCAACTTCGCTAAACCCGCTGATGATAGAACAATCGAAAATAATACTATCACTGTTATGGTTACTATTACAGCCTATCAAAAGTTCATGACTGAACATAGGTCATTGTGGTCATGCCTGGCGAACAGGTTGGAAACCACAATTTTTTATTTTTTAGTTCTTCTAAGGAAGACACTGCTGCTCATGTTCTGGTTTCCCTCTGTCACTTTTATGACATCCACTGGACTATATGGGGTTATGGTTATTCTTACACTGCCACTGCATAGTTTATTAGCCAAGTTGCTTCACTAGTATTCGCTAATCGAAAACTAAAAATGACTGAAGTCAACAATAAGTCACGTAACAATCACGTGACCTAATGCTGTGTGCATAGTATTCTATGACAATGAATGGGAATGACATTTTTATTTTTAGTATTGTTAATAATTTAGTCTGATGATTTTTACGGTCTAACGGGCACAACATATTGGTTGTATGTTCTAGTATTGTAAGTTTTCTCAAATGCTTCCTAGCCGAGATTTTATTGCATTCACATGTTTTTTCTAGGTTATTTTTTTAGATTTTTTTTTTAATAGGATAGGGTGACAAACGAGCACACAGTCTACCTGATGGTAAGTGGTTGCTGTGGCCCATAGACATCTACATCTATCCTCGATTACGAATCAAAATGCAGATGCGTTGTCACCCGTGAGGACTAAGATGGAATGCCTCGTTTCCAGTAAAAAGGGTCTCCGGTTCTCTACACTCACCATACGAAATACAGCAGCATTAAGCTACTATTTCACGCTGGTATTCTGTGAGAGCGTGGCTTTCCCCGGTCGAGCCGACCCATTCGTGCTACAACTATACTACTAATATAACTGCAGCATGGCTCTACCACATATAAAACCTATGATGTATATGACCTACTGTTGGGGGATATGTTGAGCACAGTGCTAATTTATATTTGTTATAATGACAAAGATCTGTAAAAGTCTTTTTTTATCAAAGTAAAGATGGCAACAAGCTCACATTCCATCTTATTGTAAGAGGATGCTGTGATCCATTGATTCCTACATCTATCATTGATTAATGAAAATGCAAATACATTGTCACACCGAGGAATAAGATGTTTTGTTAACTTGTTGTTGATGTTTTGATGCCTTGTTACTTGTGCCCGGTTGACTACACTTACCGTACAAAACACAGCAGTATTATGCTGCTACTTCATGCTGGTATTCTGTGTGAGACTGGCCCTTCTCCAGTTGAGCAGACCCATCTGTGCTGAAGCCCTAATAGGGTTTGATTTCATTACAAAATTTATTTAGATTTGAATATATTTATTTTGCAGTATACAGTCCTCTGCCTGAATCATTTGATGAAGATGCTCAGAAGGCGCAGCTGAAGAGAATGCTGGACCTCAAGGTGAACCCTGTGGATGGACTCTCCTCCAAGTGGGACTATGAGAACAACCGCTGGAAGTAAACTGTGAGTCTCAAACCTATAATTGTGTATATGTTGGTTTTGATGTTATTTGAAAACCTTTTTAGTTGTTGAATAAAATCTACGTCCTCATAAATTTTGTTTTTTATAAGCATTGAAAGAATTATTAAGGTGGGTCTATGCCTGAGGAGCTGAGTATAAGCGGAGCCGCTCTACTCGCGGTGTCAAGTGTGGACGTAGAACGTGCCTACAACAATTGCACTGCGAGCGCGATACAAATCCTTTTGTGTTCGTCAAAAAAACGACAATAGGCGGAGCACAGTCGAGCACAAACCAAAAGCTCGAAGCGAGCTCATTCGGGCTTGTAAGTCGGTCCAAGCTACACGAATTTGTATTTGGTTCATGCTCTGTTCTCGCTTAGCTGGCTGGTGTAGATCCACCTTAATATAATTTTTTTTATAGGATAAGGGTAACAAACGAGCACACAGTCCACCTGATGGTAAGTGGGTGCTGTGGCCAATAGACATCTACATTTGATCAAGAATCAAATGCAGATGTGTTGTCACCCCTTAGGATTAAGATGGAATGCCTCAATTCCAGTAAAACGGTTCTCCGGTTCTCTACACTCACCATTCGAAACACAGCAGCGTTAAGCAGCTATTTTACGCTGGTATTCTTTGAGAGCGTGGTCCTTCCCTGGTCGAGGCGACCCATTCAAGTTACAACCGTAATATAGCTGCAGCGTGGCTTTACCACATTGAAATTATGTGAGAAAAGTCTTTATGCTTGAACAAGTCTGTTGAATCTTGCCTGCATTAGTGTCTTGTTTGAATATTGTTTATATTCTTATAGTAACACATTTTGCTTGATTGTATTGTAATTTCTATTGGAATGTCCCGTTTTGGGATTATTCTTGTGATGCAACATGCAACTGACTAATGTAATAATATGATACATTTGGTAATTATATTCTGCTTTGACCAATTTTAATAAGTATTCTCTATGATGCACACCGTCACTGTCATTCTTTCCTTGTATAAAAGGTTTTGATGATATATTTCATTATGTACATATATTATGATATAAAATTCATTAACTATAGCGAGTAAGCAACATGTTATGACATCTATGGTGCTCACTTATATCCTTTTTCTGGTGATAGTGTTCCGCTTATTGGTCCATGGTCGATGGTTTCTAAAGAAACTGTACCCGCAACTAGTCATAGTCGCTGATGATAAGGCTATGTGTTGTATAGGCATTCAATGAGTAAATCAGCCAGCATTCCTGGCACTATACCACTGGGAGTACACCTTAGGATAATTGAAGTTTTCGGTTTTTAATTATTTTAATAAATATTCCAATCAATATTGAATAAAATGATTTTAAGAATATCCACTACCCCGTATCATCCCATGGAAAACAAATCAGGAGATGGTCAGTAGCATCTTCCTAGTAATGACTAAAAATAAAAAAACTGCTGTTCCCAACCCGCTTGCCAAGCGGACAACTTTGCCAAATATCTTCCCTATGAGGCAATCTATGAGGGAGTCCTATGTCCAGCAGTGGACTTTAAAAGGCTGTAACGGTGATAATGGTATTGAATAAGAAAAAAACAAAAGTCTTGCCTTTAGCATTGGCCTATACATTTGTGACAAAGCTATACATTCAAATATATATAGCACATGCCCTGGTAATCGTGAGTACCTTTCCTAGTTATTTTACATTGCCTTATATACAGGGTTGGCCACAGGAGAATAAAATAAGGCATGATTTAAAATTATTGATGAATAATTTATCATGTAACAATAATTTAAATTTGACATTTAATTGTAACAATTATACCAATAGAATTAATTTAATAGATATTAATAATTTAATTAAGAAATTTTTGACTACAGATAGGTATTACCTATCCAAATATAATTTAAGACAGATAGCAAATGTGCTATCTTATTATTTATATACTAACTCAGCCAAGAGCTTGTCTGGTTGACTGTGACTGTATCTGCTCCTATTGAGCAGCATTATGATTTGTCATGCAATTTGGAATCCGTTCCAAGTAATTTAAATTAGAAAATGGGACAATGGAGGTAATCTCTAGCAGTTATAATAATTTAAATAATTTAGAATGTAGCTTACAAATCCTTAATAGTTGCAGTTGTATAACTCCACAAAATGATAATAAAAATTGTTTACACCTGGTGCATCAGAATGTACAAAGCATTGAAAGGCAAAGAGCTAGAAATTGAATTGTTCTTAAATAGCAACAATATTCATATTTTATGTATTACTGAACATTGGTTAAAAGCTAATAATTTAACTTCAGTAATCACCAGGTGGTCAGTTCTTTCAATAGAGAAACGATTTTAAGAGGTGGCTTCTTAATTTTAGCTAGTAAATTATTATCATGTAAAGAACATAAAGATATTGTGAGCCTCTCTGTTGAGCAAACTGTAGAAATGGCATGTGTTGAGTTTGAGCACCTCATTGTTGTGAGCGTTTACAGACCCCCATGTTCTTTATATGATACTTTAAAAAAATATGGAGGAAGTTTTCGCTAAACTTAATAAAAAGAATAAAACTGTTTTAATATGTGGAGACTTTAATATCAATCTCCTAGAAGCTTCCTCCACCAATATTAAATTTAGCTCATTGTTTAAATCTTATGGTCTTTTTAATTTATTTTTGGAGCCAATACATATTGCTGAATCTATTGCAACATGTTGAGCTCTGATCACTGTGGACAATTAGTTTCATTACCTTATGTTCACAAAAAGCGAGTAGATAAAAAAGTAGTGTTTGTTCAGTAAATGCACATCGCTTGGTGAAGTTTAGAAGTAACATAGTAAAAAAACTTCCATTACTTTCATACCAAAATAATCATTCATAAAGTGTCATCAAAAGATATTGTAAAATATTTTAAGACTATTGATATTAAGAGAACCGCCGATGTGTGGGGGATTTCTGTTAAAGTTATTGCGTCTATAATAGATACAATCGCACCTCAACTATCTATTATTTTTAATACTAGTATCGAATCTGGTGTGTTTCCTGATTTAATGAAGCATAGTAAAGTAATACCTTTATTTAAATCTGGTAGTACATTGGACCCCGCTAATTTTAGACCTATTTCTGTACTGCCAACACTTAGTAAAATTTTTGAAAAAATTATTCTTGATCAAATGTTAAATTTTTTTAATGTAAATAATTTACTTCATAAAAATCAATTTGGTTCCACAAGGGGTCGCTAGACAATTGATGCGGGTGTTGAGCTGATTAAATATATATTTAATGCATGGGAGAATTCACATGATGCTTTGGGTGTGTTCTGTGACCTATCCAAAGCCTTCGATTGTGTTCACCATGAAACATTAATCAGGAAACTTCAACACTACGGTGCAAGAAGCGATGCTCTTAAATTAATTATTTCATATTTAAGTGACAGAACGCAAAAAGTTGTCATAAATAGTAAGATCTTCCGGGTAGATTGTACAAATGGGCGTGCTCAGGGCTCAATTCTCGGCCCCTTTCTGTTTCTTGTATATATTAATGACTTACCTTACATAGTAGGGGATAACCATATTATTTGCTGATATACTTCATTAATTTTCAAATTAAAACGACAGTTATTAAATTACGACGAAGTAAATAATGCTATTATAAGCTATTTAACTTATATAAGTTAGTCAATTGGTTTAATGTTAATAATTTGCATTTGAATGGAACTAAAACTAAATATATGAAATTCGTCACTCCTAATGTTAAACATTTCAATACTAATGTAATTTTAAATGGGGAGGAACTGAGTCTTGTTGATACCACCATTTTTCTTGGAATCGCACCGGACGCAAAGCTTCAATGGCTCCCCCATATATCAAAACTAGCTAGCAGACTTAGATCTGCAGCATATGCTGTAAAAAAAGATTAGAACTCTTACCAGTGTTGAAACAGCTAGAATAGTTTACTTTAGTTATTTCCATAGCATTATGTCGTATTGTATTTTGCTATGGGGACACGCGACTGACACTGAAATTATATTTATTTTACAGAAGAGAGCCATTAGAGCAATATATAATTTAAAACCAAAAGAGTCACTGAGACAAAAATTTAAGGAAATCAATATATTTACTCTGGCCTCTCAATACATTTATGAAAATGTAATGTTACATACACAAAAATAAAAGTAGTTTTGCGAAAATAAGTGATATTCATTCTGTAAATACTAGGAGCAGACACAAGCTGGTAGTACCAGTTACTCGACTCTCACGGAGTCAGTAATTCATTCTTGGGGCGATGTATACGCTTTTACAACAAAATCCCAGAAAATATACAAAATTTGTCATACACAAAGTTCAAAAATGTTATTAAACTAAGTTTGTATAAAAAGGGTTATTATAATATTAAGGAATTTATGGATGATAATAACCCCTGGGAAGGGTGATCGCTACCAAGCTATTTCTCATTTGTCTTGTGTTATTAATTGTAAACATGATTGTAAGCTATTATTGTAAAAAAAATAGTCCCGCTGGGTTTCTTGCTGGTTCTTCCCAGGACAGAGGTTTTTTTTTTGCGAACCAGTGGAAAATTAAAAAAGTGACTTTCAATAAGTATTGTTATAATCTACATTGAATAAAAAAGTTTCTGTTTCTGTTTCTAGTGTAGGTGATCATCGTCATCACAGTCAATCAATGTTCACTGCTGAATGCAGATCTTCTCTATAGATTTGGGGTGTATTTTCTGTAGTTGCTCTGCTTAGTAGGCGAGTGAGCAGCCGCAGTTTTTTATTATTTTTAAGTTATTATCAGGAAGATGCTGCTGCTCATTTTATGTCTTATTTCCTTCTGTCTCTTACAATGCCCATGGAATGATATGGGGTTGGGGATTCTTTACTCCACCTCTACACTTCCCATAATAATGTAACAAGTGAATAAGATTTGCCTCAACTGTCAGACTTAGTAGACGGATTGTCGATAGCAGTAAGAACATTGTTTCGGTATGGTGAGTGTAGAGAACTGGAGCCTCTATTTAATGGAAACAAGGCGTTCTATCTTAGTGTTATTTGTCCTCGGAGGTGACAATGCATCTGTATTTCGATTTATCAAGGATAAATATAGATGTCTTTGGGCCATAACATACACTTACCATCACATGGAATGTGTGCTCGTTTGTCACCATTATCCTAAAAAAAATATTACGCGTTTTTCAACTTTCAGGCTGGTTCTGGTTTCTGGTCTGGGTTTTATTATCTGGTATATCAAAGTTCATTTATTATTAATAGGTATTATTATATTATGCAAAATAATAAGCTTTGTCTTTATTTGAACTTTCTTTCGAAGGGAATAACAATAAATAAATACTGGTTTTATTTACAGATGTATGGTGGGGCTTCTCTTTTGGCTGACTCGAGGCGGAGTAGAGTAGACATGTATATATAAGTGAATTAACTCTGTAAGATAAAACAATTAAATTGTAATTCCAATCTAAGATTCATCTGTGTTTTATTTATTTGCATACAATTTAATCCATAATGAGATGTTGCTAACAGTCTGCACTGCTGCTGCTGGCAGCACATTTTGAAATGAACCCTTAGGATTTGTTTTAACATCAAGTGAATAATTGATAGAGCAACGTGCGTTGGATGCTGGACGCTTTTTGGAGCAAGTTTTTTTAAAAATCCAAATTATATTATGATTTTGGCGCCCCCTGAAACTGCCGCCCGGGGCGGGTGACCCGGTGAGCCCTCCTCTAGATCTGGGGCTGACCAACAGTCAACTTGGCACCGCTGAAGGGATTGTAGCACCACCTAAATTTCAACGGAATAAAGAGTTGTCTCATTATCTATATTACGCAAGACAAAGTGGCATATTGTACTCTTTGGTCTTCTGTAGTCGCAAGATGATTCGTAATGACTCTCAGAAACAACATGGAAACACGGCTCAAAAGGGAAAGCAGTTTGTAGTTATTCAATAAAGCGCCTTTCTTGAAGAACAAGACCACTGCACTTCTGCTCCACGCCTCCGGAGAGTGCCATCATGAAGTACAGAATTGAAGAGCTTCTGAAGCACCGGTATATATCGTTTAGACCGGAATGTATCGGTTTTTCATCCTCGCCCGTGGCCTTGACGTTATTAAGATGCTTGAAATTGTAATCTCACTCAGACTGGCGTCCAGAATATCATTAGCATATGGTCAAATGAGACTTGTCTTGGATCGCTACTCATACGTGAGGCTCCAATGACGATGTGTACAGCTCTCTTTATATTTCTTTTTCAACATATACATATTAAATAGGTGGTAGAATTTCTAAGAAGGATTCTTGGAAAACCTTAGGAGTCCGTCTGAGTCAGTGTGTGCACTGCTATGTCGTGATTTGAAGAGCCAGAATAATTACACAGGCTATGAGCCATTCCGGCTTAGTTCTCAGATGTGACAACGGATCAGCAGCCTTTGTCTGAAGTTGGTTGCAGTTGTCTATGGGGTTCAGTAAGCACTTATCATCAGTAAAATACGAAACTAATTACTGCCTATATTTATGTCTCATGCTGGACAAAGACTCATTTCTTAGACATAAAATATGAATCTGAACTTATTAAAGGATTTGTCTGGCTAGCGATATTTTAGATTTAACTGGTTCAAAGAAATTTATGGATCATAAATTTCTGTGTGGAAAACTAGCATTGCGCATTCTCTGTTGTAATACATAAAACTTTTGCAATAAATCGTAAAAATGAATTAAATTTGCATATTCTATCAAATAAAAACAGTAGATAAGAGTTAAAAACAAAACCCATTTTTGTTTTATTTTTTTAATACAGTGAACGTATCAAATATTTGAATTTCGAATTGCAGCCATTGGAATTTTCCATGTTCTATATTTTAAAAAAAATTGTTCTTTTTTGGTTCTTGAGTAGTTTTGTTGGTTTTAACGCACTTATAGAATTACCACAAGTTGAAGTTAACGATCTTGTAACAACAGAAAAAATAATCAGGACTTCTACAAACAGCATCTTGTCCATTCTCAATTGTGTGAAACCTGAAAATAGTTCAAAAATTAAAGAATATTCAACTCTCCATCGATATTTCGTATCTGTGACGTTGGAGGATTCAAACAATTTAAAACGTATAGCACGTTTAACCAGAGTTGATCATAAAAAATTTAATAACTCTACAGAAAATTTAACGGCAATTTTAAACGACTTGCTCAATGAGAATCAATATAAGCTGATATCGAATGAAACTGCTGAAAAGGATGATGATACTGATGTAGTGCTACACGTAGATACTTTTCTTGCTAAACTAGAAGCATTAAAGGAAATTTATGGTGTCAATAAAGTATTTACTGATATTAATACGAATATCATAAAACTTTTCAAAGAGACCAGTGAACTACAATTGATACCAAAGTCAAATAATTTGACAAGCCAAGTTGTAGATAATGATACTATAGTTGAGAGCAATGAATTTTGGGGTAAGCTTTATTCTTGAAGTGAAAGTATTGAACAAAAGTTATTAAATGAAATAAGTTGCGTAAAGATAGCAAATTCCGACTTTCACGTAAATGTATAAACTCGACTAAGGGTAGTTTCTGAAGAATATCATGGTATTCGATAGGTAAAAGAATTTCTATCTTAAATGCTTCAGATTAAGGACGGAGCAATGTTTATTACTGAGGTCGCTTCTTAACTTACAAACTAAAAGAGTTATGTCCAGAAGTAGATTTCGTACAAGCTGATAGTATAGCTAAAATAAAGATAGATATATTACCGAACTAGACGTGAGGGGTTTAAAGAGGTAAAATGACAGTAGTCGAGTGTTCCCCCTCTCGCCTCTTGTGACTCTGACTGGACGATATGGTGTACTGGATATCTTGACACCGCCACTACACTGCATGTCGCCGGTTTAGGTCATTTTTGTTTGGCTTAAATAAGGTGCTTATGCTACTTGTAACTATAGGATGTTGTGATCTTTCTGATACTATAAATAGTCGCCTCTTACAATAACCACGGGACGAAAGGTGTCACATGCTTATATATTAAAAGTTGGACAAGTTTTTATTAATATCGGCTAGAATGCTTTCATTAGAAAAACCTATACCTACATAATATATATAATATGTACAGTATAACTGACAATGTTTATTTCGTTCAGTACCTAGTGGTCGACGCATATATAAAGGACAGAGGACAAAAATTAAACACTTTCCATTCATGGCTAGCATCCAGATATTCAATACGTTCCAGTGCGCTGGTTCTATTATAGATTCGGACCTCATCATCAGTGCTTCTTCATGTCTGCAATTGTAAGGTTACTTCTTCTTATACTTCATTATCCCGTATATGACTGCCTCGTTGACCTAGTGCTTGTTAACGCGACGCTAGTCATGCAGTCCCGGGTTCGCATCCCAGGTCAGACCACAAAAGAAATCAGTTATTGAGTTTTTCTGTCAAGAAATTCTTAGTAGCGGCTCGAAATCAGAATTGCCGTGAACGAAACTCGGTCTGGAAGACATGGTTATCCCGTATAAGTTAACTGCTGGTTTATAGGACTCTCCAGTTGTAGGAAGGATTTTCCTTAATCTTCACACATGGTTGGCAGATTGACACTCGCAGCAAACCAGACGTTTCGCAAATTTACGCTTCCTCCCGTCGCTGGTGTGAATATTTTACGCCACCACCATACGGCCTGATGATGATGATGATTACAGTGCTTTAAAATTCTTAATGTGTAAAATCTCATCAATCCAGGACCAGTATATTCACACGCTCCGGTATTGTGTGATATCGCCCTGGTAAATATGTTCTTTTAAGATAATTTAAATAAAAGCTTGCTTTCAAAATGCTTTTTTTACTATTAATTTATTAGCTATTGTAACTTGGTTTTGTCTTTTATTTATTAAGAACATTGTAATACTGTGTTACCTACACCTATCCCTAGATTACTTATTACAATAAACATGCAGCGATGTGTGTTTATTATGAATAAATAAATAAAAAATGCTTTCAGATAAATTATTTAGATTTCTGGTGTAGTAATTTTTGTTTAATAACGTTCATCAATTAATCGAGTCAAAAATACAGTCGAGGGATGCTCATCCCAATTTACCTGTCCGGTAGTTGTGGTATGGTATACGGGTATGCGACCCCGCCTACCCTAGCTATTACTGTCCTATCCCTTGCCCTCATGGACGGTAATATCCTACATTTCCTATTTCCTACCCTAACTTACCTTACTCTTCCTTTTCACACCACCTATCCTTCAAGAGAGGAAGTGCAGGTACAGCATTTGCCACCTTCCACGGAAACGAATATAAATGTTGATGAAAATGAGATAAGCATGGATGAAATAGTGGAAGCGTTGAAAAGTATGAGATTAGGTAAGGCTGCAGGGTATGACAAGATTACCGTCGAGATGCTGAGGGCTGGACAGGGCCTGGTGGCTAGTCAGCTGTACCGCCTTTTCAATCTGTGCTGGCGAAATGGGCAAGTGGAGCTTTTGTTAGAAAGGGAATGAAGATGAATGTAAAGAAGACGAAAGTGATGGTGTTTGAAAAAGATGAGGCAGTGACAGACTGCAATATCGTGATTGAAGATGAACAAATTGAACAGGTGAAAGAGTTTGTGTATCTGGGGTCAAAGTTTACAAAAGATGGAAAGTGTGAGAGTGATATCGAAAGAAGAGTGAATGCAGGAAACATGGTGAATGGAGCTTTGCACTCCTTTATGAGCAGTCGGAAAGTGTCTAACAAGGCTCGTTTGGCTGTGCATGAGGGGGTGTTGGTTCCGACACTCATGTACGGAAGTGAAAGTTGGGTATGGCAAAAGAAACATGAAAGTAGAATAAATGCTGAGATGAGAGCATTAAGAAGTATGATAGGAGTTAAACTGAGTGACAGAATAAGAAATAGTGAGATAAGGAAACATTGTGGTCTGAAAGAAGATGTAGTGACAAAAATTGAGAAAGGTATGCTGAGATGGTTTGGCCACATCGAGAGAATGAATGAAGAACGATTGACGAAAAAAGTGTATAAGGCGAGTGTGAATGGAAGTGCTGGAAGGGGTAGACCTAGGCGGACTTTTCTAGACCAAATTGGGGACGTCTTGAAAAAAGGCCAGGTTAAGAGTACCCTAAACCGTAGAGCATGTATGAAGGGAATAATGAAAGTAGACGAAACGAAACAAGTATGTAAGGATCGTAGCAAGTGGAAAGAAGTGGTCTCTGCCTACTCTACGGGAAAGAGGCGTGATTATATGTATGTATGTATGTATCAATTAATCGGTATTTACAGGAAGGGCTCACACGTCCAGGCGTAGGTGTTATGCGAGTAAACTCCCATGTGCTTCCTTATTAATACCACATTTCCTTAGTAACTTTTTTATTAACATTTTTAGAACATTACGTACGATTGATGCTTTAGTTTGTATTCGATTACGGCACCAATTTCCACTTTAAGACTATCAAAAGTTGTCAACTTGGCAGGTTTTACGTGGTAGATCCACTCTGCGGCTGCAGCACGAATGGATCCGCTCGATCGAGGAAGACCAGCTTGCACAGAATACCAGCGTGAAAAAGCAACATAAAGCTGACTGTGTTTCATATCTGATTGATTAGAACTGGAAACTCTTTAAATAGCAGGAAGGTATTCTATTTTAGTCCTCAGGGGTGACAATCGAGCATTTTGATGCTCAATCGAGGATAGATGGGGCTTAGCCACAGCATCCACTTTCCATCATGGACTCTATGTGCTCTCACCGTTACGGTATCATTACTTTAATTATTTAAAATATCGGATTAATTTCCCACACGGATGTTCCTGCTAAATCTTATAAATTAATAAAAAACCTGTTCTGGGCCGAGAGACGGATTATGGGATCAGCGGTTACTTTAGTAAATAATATTTTCAGGGCCTGGAATAACCGATTTTACCGCGAAAACCCGGCATTCCTATCGGTCCGAGTCGGGTCTTCTTTCTATAATGGTGGTGGGGAAAATATCCCAGTGCTGGAGATATATTTTCATCCGGATTACGATCCAAAGACCCTGCGGAATAACGTATGTTTGTTACGTTTATTAAGGCACATCAAGTTTCGAAGGAAAAACCGAAAGAAATTCCAGAAAATCTTAATAGACAAGAACCCTTGGAATTTGCCAGTGACGACTCCGGGGGTTACTATAATCGGTTGGGGGGCTAAGGGGGTAAGTCATAGTCTGATAAAAATGAATACTAAATTATAAAAAATTTAAACTATAAATGTAAGGCTAGAATCAATTTTCATCATCATGTGTGTCACTAATATAAGTATGTTTATTGTTTTGTAAAGTTTTTTTTATTTTTTTTCGTTTCCTTCCAATTCTATATAGATTTCTTTTTCTTATCGTTTTTTTCTTTCTTGCTTTATTTTCTTTTAATGTATAAAGTAAGTACGATAATAAATGGTCTTGTGGCTATGAAAATGATTTATATCAGGAAACTTTTCTATACAAAGACCTGTTGATCACAGTATGGCATGATGTTATGGGCTATGAATGATCCGTAGAACTTAATTGCCGCCATCCCAAAAACGTGTGTATGTCTCTGAAATGTGTAAGATTGTAGTGACGATGAAAGAACATCCACTACCTCATATCGTCCCGTGGTTGTGGTATGAGGCGACACTGAACCAAGACTTGCACAGCAGTATCTTGCCAATCCTTTTGCCAAGCGCGGCATCTAAAGCAATTATGCCCTCTCTGAGACAATATGTGGTACGGACTTTAGATACGCTGTAAATGTTAATTTATATAAATAATTATTTTTGATGTTTCAGTCGAGTAACACGGTGTCTAATCCCTGGCGGAATATCCTTTCTTACTCCTTGCTTGACGTTTATCCACTAAAAGAATGCGAGGAGGTTTATTCCAGGTACTTCAAACCTTATTTTAATTTTTTTATTAGCCCGCAAATTATGCATGGTTACATAATACATGGTGACATAACCCTCCCCCGTTTAAAGAAGGATTTATTTTATATAACTTAATTTTAGGGTAGTCATAAGATTACACTTTTCGTTATAGTGGTGACGCAAGAGGTTCCACTATCACTGACCTAACTAACCCTGTACCTTTCCGAGGGTGTCGTAAGAAACGATTGAGGAAATCAAACAGTAGATCAGCAGCAGCACTTTCCTGATGAAAACTTAAATTAACAGAATAAAGGTAACCAACGAGCATACAGTCAACCTAATGGTATTTGGGTGCTGTATCCTAGACAAAGAATTAAAGTGTAGCTGCCGATAAGGATATAATGAAGTTTGGACTCGAGTCCTTAAACTTCTACTGCATTCGTCAAACTTTTTATAACATTTTATATTTCTTTTCCTTCAATAATAATTATAGTTATAATTTAGTTTCAGTTTTTTTATGTATGAAATATTACATAAAAATGGTGAAACATAATGGACACGATGAAATAAAATCAAATCGCGATTGATCATGCGATCATAAACTCC